TACGAACGCTGATACACCAGGGAGACGAGAGGAAAGAAATAAAATTGAGAGACGGTCGCGCGGAGTCAAGTGCATGTTCGATGACCTAGATCGAGAGGGCCCATTAGAGAGGAGGTATCACTGAAGAGTCCTTGAGCACCTACGAGGAGAGAACTCGTAAACCGACCGGGATGCCGGTCTGGAGTGCTCGTCTAAGACGTAAGTCCGGCGGAATTAGGCAGTAAAAGGTGAAGGATCTATCTCACTCTCTTTCTCTCTCTCTCTCTCTCTCTCTCTCTTTCTCTCCCTCTCTCTTCCTGCGAGAGAGATCTCCGGGTGTTTGGTGTTTATACCTGCTTCTTAGGAAGGGTCCTCCGATGCTTACAAACAGGCGGTTGTCAGATTTCCTTTATCTTTTCCGGGGCATTTGTGTGCCCCGGGCCGTCTTTCTCTCTCTCCCTTTCTCTCTTTCTCTTCTCGTGCCAGAAGCCTTCCCGAGGACCTCGATATTTCGTCTCGATGCCGAGAGAATCGGGTGGGGGGTTGAGAAAGTGGCGGGCGAAGATCGCGTGTCGCCGAGAAATTCTCTTAGGGAGAGGGTCTCTCTTAATTCTTGTCCCGTGTCAGACTCGACAGCATCGTCGTCGTCGTCGACATTGTTATTGTTGTTATTGTTGCTGCGATGTCATCAACAAATCGCTCAACGCGACACCCTCGTGGTATTAAACGATCGATCTGCGAAAAACATCGTCGACGAGACTCTGAGTCATATTAGAGCAAACAATCAGCATTGTTGACTCCGCAGGTTTGTTCGTTTTAGCTGAATTGCCTACATTAGTTCAAGAAGTGTATATTGAAACATTCTCTTTGACAGAAATGACGTCATATTCACTGTTCTTTTTAACAAGCGGTTCTTTTGCAGCGGTATTCAGCGCAATCAGTTCATTGCACTACCCTAAGTCTCGAGCTGGTACAACACTGCAGTTCAATGTGGTAGCTATGTACGAACAAATACATAACCTAAAGCAATAAAATTATTGTAACAGTGGTACAGAAATGTTACGAAATATTTATATTTGATAAATTATATTTTATAATAAATAAATGCGTATATACAGAATGTCTGAAACCTTCCTCGGGATCATTGGTGTGATTGGTCGAGATAAAACGAATGAAGCTGGACAGAGAAGAGACTCCAAAAATAAGTTATTTTTCTTTATATAGAATCCGATCTACTGTTTCTCGATCATTAGCTTATGCAGATTAATTAAGTCCTCATTAGCTATTACGAATTTTACAAAACAGTATGACTTTTCTGTCCAGTTTCATCCGTTTTATCTGCACATCATGGATTCCGAGAAAGGTTTCAGACACGTTATATATATATATATTTTTTTTTTCTTTGTCACAAAAATCAAATAATTTCAAAATATGAGATACATAATTTATAAAACTTAATGCGCCATATTGGTCACTGCACTGGCACGTTCTTCGCACTTCCCTCTATATATTTTTACTTACATTGGCAGAACTCTGTACTGTCCTTACCAATTCCAGTTCACTTCAATGCAGTCCTAGTTTAAAGAGTTTAGAGAAAAAGAACAAACTTTATGACTGACACGAGGGAACTGTACGTGTACATTCATGCAGAAAATATTACTCGAGTAAAAATATATCTAGTCGGCCTGAATCAAAAGCCAGTAGTTAGCTAGTAGAGGCTAGATTAAATTTTCAAGCTCATTACTATCAGGTAACTAAAAAAGTCTCTGCAGTTTTCGGTGGAGTTCGCTGCAGTGACTTGTTTTATTTTGTAATGGTTTGCAGAGCTCAATGTTTTATCTATATCGTAAGGCATAAATACGCGTCAGTCAATCGACGCGCTCTAACTTGATGTGCACTCTTTTTCTGTAGTTGTTTAATTTCTATTATGAAAAATCGCACGAGCTATTTTGGCTACCTGACAGTACATTACTGGCTGATTATTCACATAAAATGTTGAAATGTTGAAAATCGATTTTGTGACTTAGCCATTGCTTAGACATTATATATTAAATATGATCGAGATAACATTGTCTATTCTAAAATATATAATCTAGCTACAATATACTCGCCACTAGCATTTAAAAATGAGACAGTGAATAAAAATTGAGGGTATACTATTCTTGAAAAATTTTTTTAAACCCCGAAGCGAGGATTACATTATTGTCCGGCGAGTAGCTATGATTTTTCACCCCGTAACTGTAATTTGATTGATTTAATCGTCAACTAGCTTATTTAGTTACTATTTGGAAAAGAATGAGCGATCGTTAGATATCCCCGAATAAATTCAAGAGGCGAGTTTAACCGGCGGATACCCGCTTGAATCGACACGCTTGAGCGTCGAGCGACCTGCTCGAATACGACAAAACGTATAAATCGTCCGCCCCGTCCGTTATCGCGAGGTCGATCGTCGTCGTCGTTAGATCGACGGGAAGCGCTCGCGATGTTCACGTAGCGACCAAAGTCGAATGAGCATGAGGCGAGTACGTATCGAAACGAGATCAGATCGTCGCAGACGGACTGCCGGGGAAGGAACCCGGGGAACTGCTAAGGCTTCCGAAGCCTCCTCGGCCCGCGTGCACGTTCGCCGATATCGGCTCGGCCGGCTCTATCCGCTCATCCACCTACATTTCTGCTCGACTCGTCGCCGCAAATCGGCGTTCTCGCGGAGGTTCGCGCGCCCAGCTGCGACGAAATCGTGCTCAGCCGCGATCGAAGAGCGCGCTCGTTAGGCGAGCGAACACGGTCGAGCGAGAAGCGGAGGACAAGGGAGACCCCGATGGGTCCGTCGATAAATGAGCCGAAGGTGTCCCGACCGGCCGAGGGCCTCGCGTATGGGAAAATAATATGACGAACTGCGTGGTTACATTGTCGCATTGTCGCGGATCTCGCGATCGTTGTCGCCGGTGAACGCCTACCTTCGGGAAATTAAGGGCGGAAACTGCGTCTGCGATCGAAATCAGCTGCGATCAACGTTAACTAGGTCGATTTGACCGGAGCCTCCCCGGTGCCCTGGACCATTTTGAAGAGCCTAATAGCTCTAAATCCGCCACTAGGAGGCCTACTCAGCGCAGGTATCGCCTTCGGTCAGCGCGGCCGATCTTCGAGTGCTCCTCCCGAACGCTAAGCGGATTTTTCCTCTTAATAACCAGTCGTGCGTTTTCACCCGTAACACGTCCGGCCGTTGTTGCGGCGCAAACACCGTTTCCGAATATCCCCGGCGGCGGGGCGATACTCGCTTTTCTTCACTCTCTCAGCCGGTCGAGAGTAAATCCCAGTCGTAATGGTCGCCGCGCGCTACGAGCGACGGCACTTATCCCGAAACGTAACGATCGCGCATGCTCGAATTACTCGCGCCGCTCGCGAACCGGTTCTATTCGACTGAATTTATAGAGCCGCCCGGCCTGAACGTACGTAACTCTCTCTCTCTCTCTCTCTCTTTCTCTCTTCGCACAAACAAAACTGGAAAATGTATCCGGCGCTTGTGGCACCCGGTCGTTTGTTTTTTGCGTGATCGTCCGCGAGAGACGATGATGATGGAGCCCGAAGTTCGCGGACCAACACCAATCAACCATTGACATTTAATAACACACGTGTTTCTCTTCCTCTCTCTCTCTCTCTCTCTCTCTCTCTCTTTTTCACTCTCGTATTAAATACAATTTAATTTAACAACATCGGGGCGCGATTGCGCGCACATATCGAATTAAACGCGACGCATTTCAAGTCTCAGCGAGAGAGAAAGAGAGAGAAAGAGAGAAAGTTCGCGATCGATGCTCGCGCAATTACATTACATTGGCACAAAAACGCGAGATTATATTCGTAGAGAGCTCGCGACTTTCGACCATCGCGACGGCCATCATTCGATTATAACCGCGCTCTCTAAAGTACAATCAGTGTGTTGTCATTGAAAAACAGTCACTGGTGATTCGAACTTAAACTTATGGAATATGTATATTTTATACACTCGGGTCAAACTGTGTTTATGTACAATCGTATATAAAGCGTCGGCTAATGCGTTGAACATCAGTTGTTTTCCTATGCGACAAGTAGAAATACCTACTAGTCGATGGGAAAACAACTAATAAGAATACTATACACTAATCGTTTTCTAAAGTGCGATTAATGTATTATTATTGAGAAGCAGTCAATAGTCACTAGTGATCATAATTATGACACTGCAAATTGGTAAAATTTCGCTGCAAAAATCGCGACAACTGTTTCCATCGGAGAAATGTAACTGCAGAGACAGCGAGAAAGGTATTATTTATCTTTTTTATTGTCTTAATCCCACTCTTAAGATATTGTCAATGATTTTGCCTGAAATATTTTTAATTATGTTTAATTGATATCGTAATTGAAAAACACGCTTGCCCCGATGGGACTCGGAAACTCGAAACAGCTTTTGAGTCTGCTACTATGCGAACTACACCAAATACGACATGATGGAATGTATATACGATATGTACATATATTTCTGCTACGAGATACTCCGAGTCGAAATGTTAGCTTTAGTTTACATCTAATTCAGTTTTACATCAAGTGTCCAAAAGTCTTCTATTATATTTCTTTGGTGTTACAAGTGGCGAAGTTATCGCTGTTTTCTCCACTTGAAGACTTAATATAAAACTAATAATTTTGACTCTGGAGAAAATCCGCTTTAAAGGAACACTTCTTCTGCTCCTTTGATGCTACAAATGGCAATTCTTATTTCCATATTCTCCACTTGAAGATTTAATGCAGAATTTAAAATTTCGATTCGGGGCGTAACAGCGATTTGCAGTGAATCTTTCATCAGTCACAATCAGTGAAGTATCAGCCAAAGAGCAAAGTGGAAGAGTTCCCGCTAAAAATGAGCGAATACTCATTGATTATCGGTGGAATACTGGTTACATTGACCGAGTTGGTGAGATTTTCACCGATACAACTTAAGAGAGCGAGGATCCGATATCAAGTCTGAAACGTCACTCGTGTTTTGTCCGCAGATTGATAGCCAGCCGATACCCGGTCGGCATCGGCGGCCTCTTCTACCCGTCGACGTTGCAGCACCTCCATCAGCAGCACCAGCAACATCAGCATCATTCGCGGCTGGCCGCGGCGGCGTCGTCGGCCCTGAGCAACGCAGTGCAGGTCGCCGGCCAATCAGCGGACATCGTCGATGCCGACGGCATCCGCGGCGTCCTACTCGGCGGCGCCGGCTGGCCGTTTCCATGGAGGCCAACGCACGGCCTGCAGACCCTCGAGCATCCCTCGCCGAGCGACGTGGTCGGCACCCTCAGCCGCGTTAGTCCCGCATCCGCGTCTTTCCCGCAGAGAGGTGAGTTCGATTCCTCCACCGACTCCTCCTCCTCCTGCTCCTCTATCTCCATATCCTCCGGCACCCCCCGCTGTCCGCGTTCGCACACAGAACAGATCGGGAGACCGGCTTATTTAGGATAATCCGGGGGAAAACGCCGGTCGGAGGAAAATTCCGCCGCGGTCGCTGACGTTGTTTCGCAACGTGATGGCTCGGAACGTCGGCCCGCGTCGAGTCGGATGAAGTGATGTTAACGTAACGCGCGGCGTTTCCCTTTCGAATTCGATCGAGTGGAAGTCGGAGGCACGGAACCCCTTTGTCCGTGTTTTTTCCACTATTTTTGCTTGCACTCGGTGGCGATGCGAAACGACATAATTCCACGCGCGTCGGTATGCCCGCTCGTTCACAGACCCCGTGATACTCGTTCTCGAAATTTCTTGGAGCGGAATCTCACTCAAAACGAGTGAAAAGTGGCAATGTTTTCACTCGAACCGGCGGTGGAAACATTGCCGCTCGAAATCGGGTAGGGCGAACGTTTCATTCAAGCTTGAAGCGGATTTTGACTCCGTATGAGCGGGTGTTTCAGTCGATTACAGTGAACTGGTTCCCGTGATTGTAGAATAAAAATCAGATTCACTCTTCAATTTCGAGTGAAAATATTCGATCGGCCATTCAGAGCGGAGAATTCGCCCTGTATGAGTGAAAAGTCTCACTCGAATTCGGTCACTCTCCCGTATAGACATGTAACTACACCGGAAAAGGAATTAGTTCCCATAGTTAAAAACTACTTCTATATATGATACAACTGAAATTTAGTTAACAGACTTAGTTTTTAGCTGCGGGAGCTAATTCTTTTTTCTACGTACGACCATAGTCATAAAAATTAGCTCCCACAGCTAAAACTACGTCTGTTAACTAAATTTTATTTATATTGTATGAACAGCTAGTTTTCAGCTGTGGAAGCTAATTCTCTTTTTTTGACCTAAATCAAAAGCTAATAGCTAACTAGTACAGGTTAGATTAAATTTTCTAGCTCATTATTAGCTCGTTACTGGCTAATTATTCACTAAAATATAGAATCCATTTATAATCAAGCCATTATATATCAAATATGATAGAGTGTATTCTAAAATATAGAGGAGAAGATAGTATTATAGTTCTTGTAAGTATAATAACCCCTCCTAACCTCTCTGCTATTAGGTGGTAAATTCTAGTGATTATTTACGGAATCATTTGTTTATTAGCCTGTTGTTACGCAGTAGCACTAATATGCTAACACATAACAGCCGACATTTGTTATAGTGCATTTTTATTTTCGAGCATTTCGAAACGTTTTTAAAGTATATTTTAGCATTTAATTATATATATTTCCTCATTCTTCTCAAACTTGGGCGTATTATCACACGAACACCTGTGCACTTTAATGTTTTGTTTGTTATTTAATTAAGAGTATATTTTATTCCGCTGTTTCGAGTTATATAAAGATAAATAACAGCATAGTATTTTGCTAATGTGGCCTCCCATAAAAATAGATTTAATATGATCTTTTTCTTATTTAATTAATTATTTAATGAGTCAATAATGCAAGTTGAGTTTAATAGACAGTCTATTTGTTTCGTAAAAATTGTCCTTTTGAGTTTATATCTACCTTCTGACAAATAAGTCAGTATCTACATTAAAAATCCATAGTTATATTCATTGTTGTTCTTTCTGAGAGTTTGTTTTGAATAAATACATAAATTTGTAACAAAACACCGTGTTTTTCAGACAAAACCAATTTTTTAATTGATTTTAGCGGGAGATCACATTTATCGCCTCTGTTCCTCCTCGACCCATTATGTTGTATCGCCACATTTTTATAAATAACTTCCTAAATAATAAATATTTCATAACTTTGAGTCTAAAATTGATTGAGCAATATTTTGACGAATGTTATCGTTTTCTCTTTAAAACATGATTTATTAATAAAGTTATTGTGCAAAATGCAAATAAGAAGCCATAATATCACCTGCCCCCCTATAACCTAATTACTACATACCCGTCACTAGCATATAAAAATGAAGCAGCAAATCAAAATTGAAACATAATTTCATAAAAATCTTAAAGTAAAACAAAAATAAACGTTGCATTACTACCCGGCAAGTAGCTATGTCTTTTTATCTCGTAATTGTAATTTCCTTTGTTTAACCATCAGCTTATCATCCAGCCATTATCTAACTATTAAAAGTGAGCGTTATATTACTGACCAGTAGCGACGTTAGACGCAAATTTACTATCTCGTGGCTGGACACCCACGAGGTTCAATTTCCGCTAGGGCTACTTCTCGAGTGAGATTTCACTCCGAGAAATTTCGAGAGCATCGTGTCTCGAGAAATAGAGCTGCCGTGTTCGCGTATAGATCGCGAAAAAAGACGACGGTAGGAGAGAAACAAGGATTAAAGAGTCCTATAGACGCGTTCTCCTGCCGATATATCGTCCATACGCGCTAGAGACGCGCCTCTATCTATGTGAACACCTTCGCGTATACAACCGCGCGTAAGGCTTCCACGGCTTCCACCACGACAAACCAACGTCGATCGCCTTACCCGCCGATCGTTTTGCCGCTGCCACCTCGTCTAAGCACTTAGGTAGTTACTATCCGCACCTACGGACACACACACGACCGCCCCCTCGCTCGCACCCCGGGCCGACTTGACGACGCACCCCGCATCACAACGCTGTGAAACCGTCTTTGACGGTATAACGATGGTAATAATTGGTATCGGGTGTTGCATCGCTACACGACGCGGAGATCCGGAGTTATCTAGAGAACAACAACAATTTTCGCCGTAAGACGGTTGGATGATGTAAATAGTTCACTAAAATAATAAACGAAACGATGGATAACGTACGAGATGACGAAGAAAACGGATTCCTCGATAGATGGGCCGCCTCGCGGTGGTAACGGTCGCGATTCTAATTCTCGGCGAGACGGATAAATTGAGAAACGCGTGTATATTTCGAAAAATAAATTTTGCTCAATTATATTTCCAGGCGCAAATATCAAATTATTGCGAGTATAAAAAAGGTTTGTATTTAGTTTCATTTTTCAGCCGGCTTTTTGCCGGCGCTACAACGATCATTTGTGGAGGAAAGATTAAACACACGCATCCCGCATTTCGCCGCTCTGTGAAAATAATAAGTACGAGGAAGGAAATATTTGCGGAGGAGGCGAGGCAAATTGTTGCGCGTTTTATCGTGCCCCGCGCGGCGCGTATCGCGGGGCATGGAAAGAGACACGCGACGTACAACGGTATTTCATACAAATATGCATACGTCACAAATAACGTCATCGGGTGATGCATTTGCGTGCGCATGGGGATTCAATCCGCAGCAATTATGTCCAAATGGATTAATAGAATATTAATTAGCGTTCTATTAATTGATTAAATATGCAATACGGATAGAAATATATAATGGCGATTTATTGGAGCGCGTGTGAGAGAATTTGTAAATTCAAAGCGCGCTCTCGCCGGATTGATTGACGTAGGCGGATCACGTTTTAAAAGAGAAGCGATTAACGCGTGCGCGTCCAAGCGAATACATGATTCCTTCCTCTCATTAACGATTCGGTTATATCAGTAAATATAAAAATCGCGCGTTGGCGCGTGTACTCCTCATATGTTACAAATATCATTATCTATTCATCGCCCAACTGTCATTCCCACACAACCTTCCTCTCCCCCATACGAGTTCATTAAGGTAGTTGGTCGAGTAGTAAAGTGCCGGTTTTTCAGTGGCGATATTGAGGGGCCTTTTATTATTTATTAAATATATTTTTTACTGGAAAAATACTTTCCTATAACTTTATTTAACTATCTAAGTAATAAATGTTAATTTTTAACGTGATTAAGACGAATATAGAGAAGAGCGGGACCGGTTGGCTAGTTGGCTAAAGGGATAAGTTGGCTAAGTGATTACTTTTGTTGTTTTCTAGGTTACAGAATAGGTTACTGCAAGTATCGCAACTTTCAGGTCCCACAACTCGGAAAGTATTTAATGAAAAATAACTTCACTATAGTGTTTTGAAAAGTTCTCAAAGTCGACTATAGGAATGTACAATCAAAAATAGGGGTTTCCATTGAAAAATTTCAAAATAATTTTCATGTGATCCTAACAATCCAAGGTCACATTTGCTATGTGATGCACTTAAAACCGTATAACTTTTACATAGAACATTTTCCTCAGAAATGCCTCACTTTCAAGATAATCAATTATATTGTTGAAAAATTAAGCACTTAAATTGTAAATTTCTTATGTTTATATTTTCAAAACAAAATAGTTGAGAATTGTGAAATTTCCGTATGATGTCCCTATAATTAGTACTTAATATCACAGTAGTTTTTCATAAAAATCCTAAATGTAGCTTAAAAGAGATTAAAAATAGAAGTAAAAAATAGGACATTAACCTCAAGGAACGCGTAGAAACGGTGTCACTTCCAGTTGCGAATATTTCAATTTCCGAGTGGTCGATCTCTAACTTCACAGACATGTAGATAGTATTTCAATCAATGCACGGCTGAAATTTAAAAGGATCCCTGAGAGACGAAGTTTTCGCACCGACGACCCTCATTCGCCCCGAGACACGTTTAATCGAGAAACGAGCGTCCCGGCGACGCGAAGGAGAAACCGCTACATCGCGTGTGCTTCCTTCTGCGCAGACGAGCTCGACGACGATAACGCGGACGACCGGCTGCATCGGACGAGAAGTCCGTCGAGCGGCGACGAGGGGCACGACGAGCTGGGCGACGGGGATGACTGCGCGGACGCCGACGGCGAAGGCGAGTCGACCTCGACGAGTCTCCACGGCACCTCGGTGAGCGGAAGCGGAGGCGGTGGCGGCGGGAACGGCAACGGGAACGGCGGTCAGAACAGCGTGCAAGTCGGCGTGGACGGCCGCGAGTCGAACAGCATAAAGCGCAAGAAGAAGACCCGGACGGTGTTCTCCAGGTCGCAGGTGTTCCAGCTGGAGAGCACGTTCGACATGAAGCGCTACCTCTCGTCGTCGGAGCGGGCCGGGCTGGCCGCCTCGCTCAGGCTCACCGAGACGCAGGTGAAGATCTGGTTCCAGAATCGACGGAACAAGTGGAAACGCCAACTGGCGGCCGAGCTGGAGGCGGCGAACATGGCGCACGCCACTCAGAGGCTGGTCAGGGTGCCGATACTTTACCACGAGGCGTCGGCGGGCACCGGCGCGTCCGCCGGCGGCGTCACCTCGGTCTCGGTGGCGGCGCCGGTGCCGCCGCCGCCGGTCCCCTCGTCGGTCGCGACCTCCGCCCTCTCGCACTCGGCGGTCGGAGTCGGCGTCGGGGTGGGCGTCGGCGTCGGCACCTCGTGCGCGCCCACCACGGCGCAGCCCATCTTCTACTCCCATCACCATCAACACCACCATCACCACCCGGCGGCCCACGTACAGGCGCACAGTCTCCTGTCCCACCAGGTGCACCCGCAACCGCCACCCCCGCCCCCGCCGCCGCCCAACGGCCAACCACCGCGGACGTCCTCGCAATAACACCGTCCGACGACTTACGAGGGCAGCGTGCGGCTGCAGGGCGCTGCTGCGAGCATCGCCGGGAAAACGACGCGCCTGGACCGCGCCGTTATCAGGCTGATCGACGTTGACGAATGACGTCGGCGGGACGATAGACGCAACGCACGACACGGGCCTCGTCCCGAGACATCCTCTGACCGGTATCCCGCGACGTCACCGGACGGTAGCGCGGCTCTCTCCTCGGCGATGATCGGCAGCGAGCTGGATTCGAACGTGCGGACGGCCGGATGAATGTGAGTACGGGCGAGAAACGTGGAGTTTTCTTTCGGTCTCCAAATGACGAGAAAAAAAGACTGTCTCGGATTGCGTTTGCGATGTTGAAATCGCTGTTTAACTCGGAGCGCGCTGAAGATTAGATTTGGTAGCAATCGTCAATTCGATGAAATCGTTCGGTCGCTGCAACCGAATCATTTATTACCACAGACGCATGTATGATGCACTATAATAGCATCGTATACTACACGGAAAAAGTGCTGTTGAATTAATTGAATTCCCAACAGCGCGCGTAATTGGAGTAAATCTTTTTGATTCAATGGCTATATCATTGAAACTAATACTTTAATTATTGGAACAATACATAACATAGCAGTTTTAATGATATTTGCCATTGAATCAAGAAGATTTACTCCAATTACGCGTGCTGATGGAAATTCTATTGATTCAACGGCACTTTTTTTTCATGTACATACGGTACATGATATGCATGGTACCAAAATGATTTAGTCGAGTAACCAAACAATTTAGTTGAAACTATTTAACCGAATCTTGATCATTGTTACCAAATCGTGTTTTCAATGTGAACGTTACGCTTACTTTGTCTCATTCGGGGCGATGAGTTTACTCGAAAGATACGGCCAGCGTTTCATTTAGAATATTCTTTCTCCTGTAAGAATATAATATTCAAAATTGATCAAAACTTAATGAGTTGAAACTCTACGTTTTCCCAGCCCGAGCTTGTACTCATATTTATTCGTAGCATTCGTTGCCCAGGAAGATGAAATCGTGAATTATTACGAGTTCGTTTCTGACAAAAGGAAATGAATTTATCAAGATCTGTTTCGAGAATAGAGATGTGAAATCTGGAGGAATCAACCCTCCGCGAATTATTCGACAAATTCCTGATAAAAGGTAGCGAATTTGTAAAAAGTCTGCTTCGATAAAAGAATCATCCGCTTTCTCGATAAAAACGTCTCCATTGGCGGACTCGTATAGTCGTTAATTTATATGTTAATTTCGCGGGAAAATAATTGAATTTTTCAAAAAGAAAGACGTTCCGACTTGTGTCTCCGAAACCGAGCGTCAGAGATCGCACTCGACGGCGAAATCACGCAGGGAACTGAACTGTGATTCTAATGATTTCGCGTCCCTTCCTTGAGCCGACGAGCGACGAAAGTTGGCCATACGATCTCTCGTATGATTTCCTTTCCCGGATTGTCGCCGATGTAACAATATAACGCGCGCCTTTATGCCGCTTGGCGCGCGAGATCTCACGATGTCACGATCGACGGACAGGAATCAGACTCTATTTTGCGCTAGATCTCCGACACTTGACCTCTGTAAATAGAACACTAATGGCGGTGGCGACTTTTTCGATTCGCGTGAATTTCGAGGAGAGAGAGAGAGAGAGAGAGAGAGAGAGGGAACACACAATTCGCGCGGACGCGAAAACGGAATTTTCCGAGCCGTCCCGCGGGCGACTGTGCGACGCCCGATATTTTAATCGTTCGTCGATCGTATCCGCTTCTAATCGTATCGTTTTCCCCGTGTAAATATACTTTTTGCGCAAAAATTTAATTCGCGCGTGCAATTGCGAGCGCCGAAGGAGAGACTCTGCGCGAGCCCGTGACCGGAAGCTCCGTTAATATAATCCAGGGATGAAAATTCCGGTACGATCTCGGTGAGTTCAATTTTCGAGATGTGGAAAAACGAAAACAAAAAAAAAAGACCTTACCGTCGAGAACAATATCAGCCCGCGCGCATTTCCATTGTCGCGCATGCAAGCACAGAAATCGTTTCCGCGTGTTTACGGTAATTGGAACTCGCCGAGATTACGCTGGTTTCAATACCTGATGTAATTCGGGATTTGCTGTGGTTGTAAGATTCGACATAAACACACACACACACACACATACACACACAAGTTACATACACACACGCGGCACACGCGCGTAAATACACACACACGTTAAGACACAGGCAGGGTTCCTACGATATATTCCACCTGTTGTGATAAGTATCTAAACGAATAATTTTATTAAACAGAACGGTAGAGCTACGAAGTACCGCCTCTCACATTGTATATCACCTATCTATAGACGTCAATTAAGGAGAAGGTTCGCCGTACCGTGTTTTATACGGACATTTGTGATTCGGGATCTCGAATTATTGTACAGCCGATCGTTTCGTAATCGCTAATAATGAACGTTGAACCATACAATACACGTCGTTCGAATTTCCTCTACTCAAAGATCCGACGCATCGAGAGGATCTGCATCACGATCGATCTCTCTGTTTTCCCCCCGCGCATTAAATACGCCCGAGTTCGACAGTTAACGTCGCTGGATCGAACGATCGACGAAAAATAAAACAAAAAAAAAACAAAACGCGAACGCGTATCGTTTAAATCGCGCTTTTGCCGCGCGCGACGTCCATAAAAAGATAGCCGATAAAACACAATGGAACGCACCGGCGGCGTTCACATAAAAATCCGGGGGTGAGCGGAGAAGTGAGAGGGAGAGGGGGCAGGAGCCCAGGATTAAAATTAATTGTTGCCGCGGCTTCACAAGGGACCGCCGTAACTAAACAAATTGACGCGGAGATAAAATGCGGCGCGCTCCCCGCTTTCAAATAAAATCAACGGGCGATTCTTTGATGGAATCGCGCGATTCGAGCGCGATCGAGAAGTGCGTCGGTTAATAAAACCCTATTGATCCACATTTTATCATACACATCGTCGTGTTTACGCGCGGTCCGTCGAAATTGGCAGAGCGGCGGGCGGAGTTCACCATTCAGAAAGAAGAAAGTGAAACAAAAAAACTCATCTCACTCCGCTCCGTCGTATCACAGATTTTCGCGCGGACACGTCGCGAGCAGAATTCGCTGCTCGAGTGGTATGAACTGGGTAACGATCACGTAACTTTCCCCTACACTGAGAGAAAGGTCTCTTTAGATTTTATATATTTTTAGTATTTTTATTTAATAACGTGTTTGGCTTAATTTTTTTTTTTAATATAAATAACTTTTAATATCAGATATCATTATGTTTGAATGATAATATTGTCGTTTCAGAAGTTCGTTAAATCACGTTGTTTGATAGAAAAAATAGTATTATTTAGAGAAAATAATTTTCTTTTTCAAAGAAAACAAATTTATTTCGTTATACAGGATGTCCCAAAATTCCGCATGCGGAGTGTACAGATTTTTGATAATAAAAAATGTTATATTTTCCTCTACCAAAATTTTGTCCAAACAATGTTATCTAAGAAATAAGCGATTGAAGAAATGAGGTTTTCCACGGGCTTAGGCTTCGGATGAACAAATAGGTAGCAAAATTATCTTCTTCGGTCAATTTCAAGTAGATATTATAGAATTTTAATAAAATCTAAGGTTTAGCTTCAAAGATACTTGTTATGTTAATAATTGAAAAATCACTAATATAAATATTGACACAATAAATAATGATCTTTCTCAACATTTTCGCTAAGAAAAAAGTTACTTCTTCTAGTATGAAGAATCTCCCTGTACACTCCGTATGCGGGAATTTTTTAACATTCTGTTACATATTGTTCCACTGAAATAAAGAAGTTTTTTAATATTTTTCTAACACAGTGTTACTACTTTCAAATAAATTATTGCTCGGGACAGCCATTGTAATGTGTTCAGGTGAAAATACAAAAAATATATTATTTGTCGTAAAGATATTTATTGTTTGAGAAATCAAACAATCTTGTTTGTTGAATCAAACATTTATTTGCTGCTCCATTCCAAAAGACAAATTTGTCTCAATTAAAGAAATTGTATTAAATCCAAAGAAATCTTTTTCTCTTTGTAGAAACGGAAACGTGAAAAGTGAAAAGATTTACATAAACCGACTTTGCCGGTCACGTAACTTCTCGAATAATAAAAACGTGAAACTTCTCGCGTGAGATTTTTCGCTTTTCACGTTTTCGCTCTTGGGAAAAGATTATATGATCGCCGCCCAGTTTTCCCGCATTAGTTGTTTTCCGGCAAGAGGTAAGTCAACATGAATGTTTAGTTATATCATCTATTATCCTTTTCTTTATCAAATGCAAAACGAAGAACTAATGATGATACAATTAGAATCATGTCGACTCATGTCTATTGCTGGAAAGCAACCACTGACGCATAACGAGAGACGAATGCGACGATCGCGCTCCTCGAGCGCGGTCCTCGAGGTGCGGCACTCGTCGTCGCGCTCGTTGCGGGCGCGCGTTTATCGTGCATTCTCGCGCCTTTCGTCACCCTCATCGCCGTCGAAACGGCGAACCTAGCAGCGTCAACCGCGAGGGAGGACTGGCGACAATGCACCTGCACCGCCCACGTTCCACATCCGATGCACACGAACAGCGACAACGGCAGCAGTGACGTATCCGAGTAAGTACACGCTCCACGTAAGTATGTTGGTGCTTAAGTACACTCTCCACGTAAGTATGTAGGTGCACTTCAATCAACCCTCTCGCACCATCGCGCCTTCGTCCCTTCGCTAGCCTCTGATCTCACTCTCTCTTTCTCTCCCTCTCGGCATCCACCTTTTAACTGTGGATTTTCTCTCCCTTCCTCTCTTTCTATCTCCCGTTCTTTCTCTCTTTTCTCCTTTCTATCATTATCCGTCGCATTCTAGCACTAGTGATAGCTCTGTATACCTTTATCTCCCTCTCGGTATCCGTATTCCACGCTTTGTCGCCTTTCTCTTTGCGATTCTAGACGTTCTAGCTTCTCCC